AATTAAAATTTTATTTTGAAAAAATAATTTATTAATATTTATCTGAGGTACAAATCTTTTTGCACCAACCCATAATATATTACTATAAGTAATAAATTAAAAATATTTTAATATTCATCCTTTATTTAATTCATTAAGTAATTTTTTTTTAACTTTTTCTTTAGAAATAGAAAATCTTTTAATTTCTTCATTACAGTATTTAATTTATTAATTTTATAATTTTAAATAATAGAAAAATAAAAATAGCTAACTAATTAATTACTTATTAAATTTCTTTTTTTAATAAATTATATAAATTTTAACTTTTAGAAATTATACAAAAAAATAAAGAAAAAGATTTACTTATTTATATTAAATAACAAAGTAATATGATTATTAAGTTTTTTTTATATTTTTTCTTATTATTATAAGCTTCAGCTAATTAAGAAAATTTAAATAGTAATAAAAGATAAGATAATAAGATCAGATTCATATTTTAGTCTTTTAAATATATTTTTAGATACTTTTAAAGAAAAAATAATATCAAAAATGATAATAAGATTATAAAAAAGAATATTTATAAGAGCAAAAAAATATAAAAAATTAGATGATAATATATTTTTATTAAATAATAAATAGATATAGTCACATCTCTCTAAGTATATCTATGTATTTAGAAAGAATATATATTTATAGAGATCAAAAAACTTTTATAAACTAAAATCAGAATATACTATATATTTAAAGAAAAGTTATATAACATATATACTTAGAAAGGATATATTTAAAAAGATGTGACTGTAATAATAATGATAATAGTAATAATAATGAATTCTAATAAAATCTTTATAATATAAAAAATCTAAATATCTATTGATTTTTTATTTTTTAAAAAAATAAATTATATATAAAAAATTTTTTTATTAGAATTATTATGAGATATAAATATTTCATATTAAATCATATTTACTTATATTATTATTATCATTACTATTATTATATTATTTATTTTGTTAATATTTCCTTAAGTATTGGTATAATCTGTGCTCTTTTTTCGTGGATGTATTGATAAAAATTCGCGCCATTTGATTAGAAACTGATCACGCGATTGAATCTTTAAATTACGTGAAACTATTCTATAATATAATTCTCTTTCACTTTTCCCGTCCAGATCCCGCTTCTATCACAGCGTCCAGACTAATGATTTTGATTCATTCGTCGGCGTTCATTGGTGCACTTCCCATATATTCGGGATTTATTGGTGCATCAATCAGCCCGACGCATCTAAACATCACCTTCACTAATCGTGCATTGTATCGTCACTAATCACGAGATCTGATCCCGTGAACATTATAACGTGCCTTATCAATGCTAATACTAATATCATGTGACTTGATGCGGAAGAGAAAGAACTTCTGAAATAACTACGTAGCAGTGACATTGGTTTTCCCTTGGCGTAAAGGTTTCTGTATTGCTGTATTTCTTTCGCTTGTTGATTGACTATCATCAAAAGTTTTTGCGTAAATTAATAACAACCAACAATTCATTATTTGAAAAAGGGAAGATTTTCCCAAGATATTTCAATTCCCATTATCTCCGATTTGGACTAAAATTTCAGCGTTATTTTCGACACGAATAAACTTTACACGCATAAATTCGAATGCAAATTTGTTTATATCATTCCTGATAATATTATACTCGAAAACAACGTAAATTAAAAAGATGCAAAGATCGCCACGAGTAAAATTTAAACCACATGTACCAAAGGGCCTTCCTCGTTTACACCGTTCAAGTGATTTGGGATATCCTGATTACTATCCTCCTCGGGAAAATCAAGATGAGGATCAAATGACCGAAGAAAACGTGCGTCGTGGTTTCACATACACTTCATTAATTCAAGACGAGTCCGCAACTCAACATGACGCTATTTATGCAAAGTTGAAAGGAGGTTTAGCATTGAAAAATATGAGTGACTCCATGTTAGATTTACTAAAAAAGAAGCGATACGAGAATGAAGAAGATATCGAACCATTTACCACATTCACAGCAAAACGCGTACGGATGGATGGTAAGGTGATAGAAGCTTGGTATGAGAAAATTGATACACCAGAACTGGCTGACTTGATTAAAGATGGTGTGCCATCTCATCTTCGTAACGAAGAACTACTCATGGTTTTGTGTCAACGACGACCGACTTTCATGAGAGCTCTTGAGTTAATCAAGATTATAGGAAAACTTGAAGAACCTGATTATAGAAAGAACTGGACAGTGATTTGCTCCGAATTTTTGAAACAGAAAGTACATATTTTACAGTCTAAGGAATGGCGATACAGTGTTCAATTATCGAGATTTCAATATGATGAAGGATTGACCGATCAGCGTATTTTAAAATTAATTCTTGATCATATAAGAACTTTCACCGATCATAATAACATCGCATTGTGGCTTTCTTTGGTGATCGAATTCTTATCGATATATACAGGATCCAGAACTCTAATGCGATTACTAATCGATTATTTGCTTAAAAAATTAAAAGAGCTTCAACTACCGCCCTCGCCTACTCCGCCGACCCCTACTCATTCGTCTTCTGCTGTTGCTCAAAGTCCAGATGGAAACCGCAATTCTCATTCTGCTGCTACCACCACCAATACTGTTATTTCCACTAATATCACCACTGCAAACAACAACAACAACAACAACAACAACAATAGTATTAATCCAATCACAGAGCGACTTATAATCACTATGAAAAAAATTCTATGGGCAAGTTTTGTCACGCTTCCAGATATGTTTGTTAATCCAAAACATTGGTTCACGTATAAAGATTTAATACAAAACATATTATTCGAATGTCATTTCACTGATGAAAAGTCGGCTGGACATCGTGCTATCGAAGAAGAAGAAACACTTCGAATTTGGGAAAAAGTACGACAACGTAATGAATTTTTTTCTGATTCAAAGGATGATTCGATTCTTTTCAAAAAGAATATGTCAAAAGAACCGCGTAATAGGTTTTTTATTATTCTTGATAAAGTAAATCGTGGTACAAATTACGATGAATTAGCAGCTGAGTATTTCCCTGGAAAATCAATTTACTTTCCGATAGCAAAAAATGAAATATCATCTCGTATTCAAGCATTATGCTATTGGGCGGCGACTGATACTAAAGTCAGCGATCATAGACCTTACGTAGCGTGCACAATACTGTCGAAATGGAAAAATAGAAATGATTTGTCAAATGATGAGAATGAAAAATATGAGCGACAAGATCTACTTCAGGATTCATTGCTCACATTTTTGGATGAATATGATTGTGGAAGTACAATTCAAGGACACGAATTTGTCGCACATCTTTTTAGTGAATTAATTAGATGCAATCATTTCTCACCAAACAAATACATTCAACGGTTAATATCAAGAGGTGATCTTGTTGACAGAAATAATGAAAGAACATTGCGACACCTTAAATACATTCAGTGCTTTCCGTTATATTCATCGTCAATATATCTGTATAATCAACGTAAATGGATTCTATATGGAATTGGTTGTCATGACAAAGATGAAGAGATGACATTTAAGAAAATACGCGAGAAAATAATGGCAAAATTGCCTCAGATGTTTGGCGAAGGAGCCGATAAACTTGATGCACCTGTAGACGATGATGCAATCGAAGATTTTGATTTTTCTCTTCCACTTGATCAAGAGACATGCGATATTATCAAAAACACTACGAGATTCAATCAAATGCTCATAACTCAGAACTGGCTAGTACCAAAAGTAAAAGAATTTATTCAGAAAGCGCCAATAACTGATCATAATTGGCGAACTAATACGCAACCCGGCGCTACTTTATTAAATGCGAGACAATTTGCTACCATTGTTCAAGTTTTGGAACATGCACGAGACTTCACTTCATTGATCGACCTGTCATTATGGGTATTGGAAAATACATTTGAACGTAGTTTATTCCCTGTGATTATAGACACATTTGCACGGCATGAAACGGTTTGGGCTGCTATGGATAGAGCCACGGAAGTGTTTAATGCATTACAATCAAAAAATAAATATTTACAAGAAAAAAAATCAGTTGAGCGAATTATGGTAGAATATATGTATCAACTTAGTGGAATAATACCAAAAAAGGAGCCAGCGGAAAATAAAGACCGACAACAGGCCAAGGAATTCTTCAATAAACTATTTATCGACAAGGGTCAATTAATCGAGGATCTCGGAGAACGGTCATTGCAATTTACATTGTCCAAATATTGGAATAAACTTAGCAGTGATTTTGCTACTCAGGCTCAAAGCTCACTCAAATTTCACGGGGTGAACGATTATCCCTATGCTATGCTTAATTTTTTTATTGTAACTATTCGCGACTTTGTTGCTGAAGATGGCATTGATTTTCGAGAGATTCGAAGAGTAATATCAATTTTCGGTGATATGCTTCGAGTTATTTGTGATCAAACCAAAGATGGGTGTTTAGATGCGGTCTTTAAATCCTGCATAGGACAACATGTTTCAGTGGAAGACGGTATCTTCAAGCAATCGAACGCTATTTGGTTTTTATTTTTTTTAGAGGCATTAGTTGTAAGACGATTATTATCAATCGATACTCTAATAACAGGGATAATTGATAATTTTGAACGGCTTGCCAAAAAAGCATTGACCGGCGAAGCGCTCAATGCTACGGAGATAGAAGAAACCAAAAATTTAACATTACTTATAAGTATAATATTTGCCCAAGAGGGTGGTGATTTGCGTGAATATTTTGGATTATGTACGATAGATATTCAAATGCTACAAACCCATTGCGTTTCTCTTTCCTCCCAAATCTTATACCCACTTTCGATTATAATTTTCAATTTGATGACGATTGAGTCCAAACTTCCGTCTAATGATCTTCTAGCGGAACAAATACAAAAACTCTGCAAAAATCTGGCTAATACTTTTTGGTTTCGTCGAATTTGTGCAAATTATCCTAAAATAACTTATCAACATTTTGTGGTTCGAGCTCGGGACAGTTCTGTCAAAAATGCCGAAATGAAAATGATTGAAATAATGCAGATGACATTCGGGGACGGAAATGCAATCTATCATCACTTGGCTACGCAATCGCCTTCTGCTTATCTCGAATACTTTAAATATATCTTGTCGCAAATCAATTTTTGGAATATTCATGTGGTCGCGATTCAATTTCGCTTATGTATGGATAGTTTAATGCTTTCGAAAAATTCGCCTACTCTGTCATCTGAAGAAAAAACGACGACGACCGATGCAGAAGGAGATATAGTGATGAGCGATGCGAGTAGATCTGATGCAGATTTGAACGAGTCAAGCGTAGAAATAACAATAGTCAAATACCTATGGGAAGAAGTTGTGTTGCAGCAAAAATTCGATGCTTGCATCATTAAAGAATTAGTCGATGGTGTTCGTAAAGATTTCGCGCATATGATGCTAGATTATGGCATGCTTGTGCTAAAAAGACATAAACCACTAATACCTGGTATAGAACATATTTTTCGTGCTTTGTTGAGAACAGTAAACGACGAAGAAAAAAGTATTGTGCTAAGCGAAGAATTACTTGCCCAGGTCGATATCTTGTCTGAGGAAAGTTCGGAAGGAGATTTTCAATCTGCAGTAATATCCCGCATTCACATCCTAATACCTTTAACTAATGCAATACTTTCACGAGTATCTGGACTCAAACAAGAAAAAATAAAAAAACATGATATGTTTGAAAAAATTCGAGAATGTCGATTGATTGAGCATTGGGTGTTCACGTTAATTGGTATACTCATCAGCGATCGACTTCATGAATTGGATTGTGATCCAGCAAATTTCGACATATTACTGGATCTAGTGTCGTTTTTGCTGGATGAAATGGGCACACCGGCAAGAGTAATTCTTGCAGCTGAATTGAAAAAAAAGACATATGTTTTGCCTTCCATGTGGGAAGAACGTATCCGACGAATATTACCACTTCGGGCTACTAGACAACATATTGGGGCTGATGGAATGCCAGTGGATGCATGGAAAGTGACAGAGTATATTGGCAAAGACAAAGTCTTAGCAACGAATGATGCTCATGATTTGTGTCCAAGTGAAAAAATATATTTTCGTCCAAAGTCAAGGAAAGATCAAGTGACAATAACAAATTAGTTTTTTTGTTGCGCACCCAAAACAGTGTCTATTGGGATGCAAGCTTTATAACTGCCTATTTTACTTGCAGAAATTTTTTTCTGAACTGGATGGATCTCCAGTGCATTGTATCTAAGCAGAAGAAATATTATACGAACGATAGGCCTATTTAAGCCGATGCAGCGATGATTTAAAATTCCGTCAACTAGAGACTCACCATTTACGATTAATATACACGTATTTTTATATTCAAACCGAAAAATGTACACTATTAAAGAAAAACCTTAACAAATTATTATTTATTTGGTATTTAATTTTATAATAAACACTTGTATTTAGCTAGTGTTCTTCATTTGAATTGTAAATATTTGTTAGGTAAATAGATAATGATTTTATATATAAAATATTTAAATAATCGAGCTTTCGAATCTAGGCTAACGCTAAATAAATAGACAAATTATCAGAATAACGACAGTAAAAATCTCGTGATCTAGCAATGTTAGCGACGCAAATTACAAATATCCAATAACGATTATTGCTAGATTTATCGTTATAAAATTCGAAAATCAGATGATGATTTTATTCGGTAGTTAAATCTACGCAATATAGTGGTCGATTCTTTTTCAATCTTAACCAATCAATGAAATCATGAATAATATGATATAACATTTGATGAACGTTGATACACCGTAGCATGGAATTGGACTACGTCATCACGTGGGATCGTGACGAGAAAAGTGGGAGGAAATTCAACTATAAATATTAGAGTAGAAGGGAAAATTAGTTTAATAGAACTATAGCGTTAATTAATAAAATTAACATTTGTAACGTATCTCTTAAAAATAAAATAAAGTTGATTATCTTTAAATAAACACACACTCCTTCGGAATTATTATTGATCTGTCCCAAACCCTTTGATTAAGAAAAGTAGTCTACCCTGAGACTACGCGAGCTATTATATAGAAACCACGTTACTACGATCAACGAATTACCTTCTTAGGTAGGAATTAGTGACCATTATTAAGAGAAGGTCGATCGGACAACTCTACAAAAAGGTCAGAGTAGAGATCGATGATTTAATAACGGAAAAGCGGAAATTATACCTTGTGGAACTTCGTGATCGTACAGTCTCACGGTTTACTCGGTAGATACCCCACATCCAATCCACCGGGTAATCCCCGAAGCTCTGAAACATTATTCGGGATCGGAAAGTTCTTCACTTTCTCGATCTTTGCTTCGTTGGGAGAAATTCCGTTGGCGCTAATTCGATGGCCGAGGAATAGCAGCTCTTTCCGGCAGAAGTAGCACTTATCAGGGTTCAATTTTAACCCGGCCTTTCTCAACTTATCAAAGACCAGTTGAAGATGCCGCAAGTGTTCTTCGAACGTCGTCGAGAAGACGTTCGTGTCGTCCAGGTAGACCTCCAGGAACTTATGGTAGTACTCCGAGAATATGGAGTCCATGGTCCGCAGGGGCATTTGTGAGCCCGACGGGCATTACGTTAAACTCAAATAAGCCCCGCTTTGTGACGAACGCCATCTTCTTATCTGCTTCATGGACTTCGATCTGCCAATATCCCGAGGCAAGATCGAGCGTGAAGAAAGTATTTTGCCCGTCCTAGGTTGTCCGAGGATGTCGTCAACCTCGGAAGCGGGTATCCATCCTTCTTCGTTATCTTATTTAATTTTCGATAATCCACGCAAAATCTTTTCTTTCCGTTTTTCTTGACGATCGGGACGCCCATTGGATGTGAGGAATCTACCGAGTAAACCTCGTGATCGTACAGTCTCTCGGTAGATTCCTCACATCCAATCCACCGGTAACAACGTGCATTTTGAACACCACTAATTTGATGAAGTCACTAACTGCCAAAATTGTTAGGACGAGTCTGAATTCCTGAGAGATGAGTTTTTCGGATGCAACTTTTTATCATTGGATGAGTCTGATGGTATCCTGGCATCCCATTTTTCTTTTTCGGAATTGTGCCAAAATGCTAGGATGAGTCCGGAGACTTGCCTCCACATCTGAAAGAATCAGAAATTTGTCGTCGTACCAAGTTGAATCTTAGCTCATTTATAAATCAAACAATCCCTTGAGATGGGACTGAGTTTTTTTCCACTGCCCTCTGATGAATAATGGAAGAATTATGAAGCGGCACAGATAAAGGTGCATTATTTTATTGAATCTGTATGAGGCGTCAAAAGTTCCCGCAGCAATTCAACCTTTTGTTCATTCTCGAGATAAGGGCTTTCTCCTCTCACCAGAATTTTAAATGAAATATTATTTAAGGCGGTTTTTTCATCTTTAGTAAAACTAAGACGAGCAATTTCTGCATAGACATTATTTGTAGAAGAGGAAGGAGGTTGACATGATTGCTTTTTAGGATAATAATACAAGCTGTACAGAAAATTTTTGGGAACAAATCTGGCTTCAATTTACGTATTATTAGAAATTCGGTTTTATGTAAATATTCTAGCTAAATAAATCAAATTCTGAATACTCGTAATGAATGCACTTGTTTTCAAAACAACTGCTGCTATTCTAACGTTCAAATCAGAATCGCACTTGTAGAGATACCATAGAACTTCTGGCCCCCCATAACTTTCTGAAAATCATGAAATTTTACGTTGTTAGTGCTAAGATTAACGTAGTCGATTAACGAATATTTATTATTGGATTTATTTTTAAAAGGTACTTTTTGTTAGAGTTATTTTTGCGTTTGTTAAGAAATATAATTATTTACCATCTAATGATGACGATGAGGAAGAAACTAAAGTTATCAGTCTGAGACTTTTTTATAATAACTTTGTAAGATCATGTAAATTAAATCATGTGAATAATTTGGGAAAAAAATCATGTAAAAATCAAAAATTAAATTTTTTCAATTTTATAACCTCGAACTATTATTAACAATGGATCAAGAAGGACAACCAATGGGTGCCTCATATGAAGACCAGTGGCTACTAAGTAGTGGTGAAAATAAGCCTAAAGGGGTTGATCATATGTCGCGTTCTCGTGGCTTATCTGATCCGGGTAATAAAGAAAAAAGACCTTTACAAAGGTCAACTAGTATTGGCGCGAGCTCAAAACGTTCTTCGGGAGGAGGAGGTGGTGCTGGCGCTGGTGGTAAAGATAAAAAACAGCTAATCGAAAACGTTTCAGTTAGTCCGCCAAAATCTAGTAAACGACAAACTGCTGGCGGAAGCACATCAGTTGTTCAGACAACAACTACAACAGCAACGACGTCAGCAAATACCTTGTTTACAGGCAAAAAATCTATGAAAGAAATGACAAGAGCGGAAAGACGTGCCTTACAAGAACGTCAGCGTGCAGAAAAGGCTGCCCGTAACTCTCCCAATACTGCCACCTCAAAGAAAACGCCACAAACAAATGAAAACCTGACGCCTAACACTTCAGAAAAGGCTGTTTCTAATACTTCTGGACAGTTCGAAAATATACCTGTAACGAAGAAATCAAATGTATCTGGCGGTGGAGATAACCCTGTAAAGCAGCAGCAACAAAAAAAACAAACAAAGGAAAATAGTAAAGAGGTCGCTCTGTTTTCGCATTTAGGAATTCCCAAAGGCGCAAAGACTGCATTGGCGCCAAGGGAAATTCATCCCGCCGTGTTGGTTCTTGGATTACAATTTGCAGAGTATAAAATTTGTGGTGCAAATGCAAGATGTATCGCCACGTTAACTGCTTTCAAGAAGGTATATTGATACTCTGAATCTTCATTTATTTTGATGCGAAATTTAATTTGATCCATCTTTATGTTTAAAAAAAAAAGGTTATTCAAGATTACAAGACACCAAAAGAAACCACGTTATCGCGACATCTTCAAACACATTTATCCGCGCAGATTAATTATCTGAAAAATGCACGTCCGATGTCAGTTAGCATGGGAAATGCTATAAGACATATAAAATGGGAGATATCCACTATAGGCTATGACTTGTCAGACAACGAGGTAACCTATATTTAATGATCTTTTCAATTCTTCGATTCTCTAATTTTTTAAAAATAAAAGGCCAAAGAATTGTTATGTAAAAAAATCGATGACTTCATTCGCGATCGTATCACGGTTTCGGATCAAATGATCGTCGAATATGGTTTGCAAAAAATTCAAGATGGAGACATTATTCTCACTTATGCAAGGTTCTTTTCTCAATCATTTTACTTAGCATTTAACTAATATTTTGTGTTCAGAATCTTGAATATTTCGACTCATTTATAGGTCTTCAGTTGTACAAGAGTTATTATTGAAAGCACATGCTAAAGGAATAAAATTTCGTGTAATTGTCATCGACTCGAGACCTAGATTAGAAGGTAACCTAGACGTAAATTCACTGTCTTAGGGCTATAGCAAGAACCTAAATTTTAATAATTTTCCCATCAAAGGTAAGAAACTTTTGAAACGTTTGGTGGATGCGGGTATAAACTGCACATACGCATTGCTGCATGCAGTTGGATTCGTGTTGCGGGATGTATCCAAGGTTTTCCTGGGAGCACACGCCTTTATGTCTAATGGCACATTGTATTCACGTGTCGGCACTGCAATGGTTGCCATGATGGCCAAGGATAAAAATATTCCAGTGATTGTGTGTTGTGAGACATACAAGTTCACGGACCGCGTGCAATTGGATTCTTTTGTTATGAATGAACAAGGCAAGTAAAAGAAAAAGATGAATATATATTCAAATTGAATTTACAAGTCATATTAATAAATATAATAACTGATGAATAGGCGATCCAAATGAACTAGTGAATATCTCTACCAGCATTACTCCAAAACCTGGTCAGCTTGCCGGTTGGCTCCAACAACCGGATCTAAAGCTATTAAATTTGATGTACGATGTGACGCCGTCCCAATATATCACTACGGTCATAACAGAGATTGGAATGATTCCATGTACAAGTGTTCCTGTGGTAAGTTTACATCGATTTCTCTTTCAGATTATTTCGCGAATAATGATAATAATTATATTAATGTATCATCAAAATTTAGATTTTAAGAGAGTTCAAGTAAGTATTGCCTCGCAGGGGGATGTATTATTTTTGTTAGCTCTCCTTTAAATAAGTTAAAAGAACCATGGATGCATTAGCTTTATACTAGAAATCCCAAAGATTTTTTGTTTGTTCAAAAAAATAATTTATGCGTTATGCTTTTTGGTATTATTTACCACGGAATACCACGTTATATCTGATGAATCAATAACATTTCTATTTTAACCAAAATTTTCAGACCAATGTTACGCTGAGATCAATCACATTCTTTTAAGGATCTACTGCTTGTGTGTGGTATGTCCCCTTCTAATGTTAATCATAACAATAGTAGCCATTCAAGTTATCATCGATCCGGGAAATCTACGGATAGCATCAATCAGGTAGAAAATTCATTTAGAGTAACGATAATAGTTAATTGTAATAATAATAAGTTAACTGCAATTCTGATTCATTGTTTTAATGTTAATGAATCAATAATCAATTGAATTAAAATGTTTATCTGATGACCTTAATTTTACGGCGGTACAAGGACTCCAAAATATTATTTATGAAAGATTAATTGAACATATTCGCCCGATACGTAGTAATGTTAGTTCTAATTACAATATTGAACATTAGATCAGACATTGCAATCAATTAACGACCAACCCAGTTGCAATAGTATAGATAGCATCTGTTTGGCTGTTTAAACGGAGATCAAAGCGCTAATTCATTTTATTGATGGTAGTTATTCAACTCTAAAGAGACGAGGAGTACAGTTGTTTGGGTCTAGCTCTAAAAGAAAAAGATTCCAGGATGATGAGGAAACAATATAAGACGAAAAGACATGGATTTGAGCAATCACGAGATCTTTTCATGGCAATTCTTACCTAAAATAATAAAATGATGACAGAAACTTTGATTTTTGTGAAAGATTAATCAAAGAATAAGTATAATACAAAAAAGTCCAACAATTTTAAACTGTAAAAGATAAAATTTAAATGATTTATTAATCTTTAAATTTTATAATTTATGTATTTTTATTAAGTATATAAATTCTTTTGATGCTTTTAACCTTCTTTATTATTTTTTATAATTCTAATTATAACAAAAAAATATTAAATTATATAATTATTTAAAAAGTAATTCAAACAAATTACAAAATATAAAATATTAATGAGAAATATTATTATCAAATAAATGAATTAGTTAAATTATTTAATTAATATAATTATTAAATTTGTTCTTTTATTTTTTATTAATTAAAATATTTTTGTAAAATATAATAAATTTTAGATAGTTAATTCTATAAGAAAATTTATAAAAAAATTCTAATAAAATTTTTAAAGTAAAATCTAAATATCAATTTGAATAAAAATTTTGAAATATAATTTCTTAATTAGATAAAAATATTATTTAATTTCTCTTAATTAAAGAAAATAAATAATAATATTTTTATCTGATTTGATTTAAAAAATTATAAAATATTATATTTTAAAATTTTTAAATTAGTTTTTAATATTTATTAAATTTTTTTAATTTTTAATAAATTTAATAATAATAATTTTAAATATAAATTAATGTAAAGATTTGTATTTTAAATAAATATTAATAAATTTTTTAAAATAAAATATAATTTATTTAAGTTATTAAATATAAAATTTAATTAAAATTAATATAAAATATTATATATAGTAAATAATTTAATTATTAAATTTTAAAATATAATTTTTTTAAATTTACTTATACATATAGTGATGATCAAAAGTAATAATTCAGGAGCTAAATTTACTAATAAAACATAATAAAAATTAAAATTTTTTCTTTATATTAAAATTTATAATTTTAATAAGAAATAATTTATATTTTTACATTAAAATAAAGTTTATTAATTATAGTTTAACATATATTTTTTTCAGATTTTTTAGATTTTTTCTGAAAGAATTGCTCTAATTGTAAAGTTAATACAAAAATTTTTATTAATTAAAAATGAAATTTAATTAATAAAAATTTTTACACTAACTTTA